CAGTGAAATATATTTATGTTTGTGGTTGTAATGTGACAAAATATGGAAAAGTTCAAGGGGTATGAATACTTTTGCAAACCACTGTATAAAACGTTAATAGATAAATGCTTTGATGGGATTGTATAGCTGTTCTAGCGAGTACATGCAGCTGAACAGCGTTAATATTTACTCAGTAAAACTGCCCAACTATGTGTGTTTATTCAAATGAGAATAAAGAATACTACATATGTAGTGACAGGAAGGTGTTATCTGTCCTAGCTGTGTCCTGGAGGCAGTTTCACACTCTCCTGCTGTTAGCTTTGTTATCACTGCTGCAGCAATGTGTGTGTGTGTGTCTGTGTGTGTGCCCTGCAAGTTTGTGTTTCTACGTTGCTGGGGATGTGCACTCTTGGATACCACGTATAAAATAACTACACGTGACACTGTTGGTGCTTGCATGACGATGCTGAACACAAGAGCTTGTTTGGATTTTCAGTTAAACGAAGTCTTCCTCATGCAAACACTTGAGCTAAAAAGGAGGAGAGTGATTTGTGTCATTTTTTCTGAAAGTGATTTTTAGGGCTGGTCAGACAATAGTTCAATGATCATATAAATCATGTCAGACACATGATCAGTATCAGTGGAAAATTTTGTCTAATTCAATGTTTGTAATTTTACTGAACTTTTGTAACTTTACAAGTTTATCAGCATGAATCACCTTTTTACTCTTGGTACTTATTATAGTTAAAAAAACTAATCTATAATTATCAATATTGCTTTATATGAATAGTATATAGTAATACATTTTCAGCCATATCGCCCAGCTTTATGGTGAAAGATGATGTGCATTAACCACACAGGTCATTTGAGGAGAAATAACGATAAGCTGTGATGGATCCTGGCACTGTGCAAAAGTCCCTTTACAGCTTTGTTTTCCTAGCAGCCAAATGTTTTCACAATCTGTTAAAATAAAATAAAAACAAGTCTATTTTCAGTATAGTTCAGACATCTGACAGTGTTATTTTGTCCAATCTTTAACATGACTACAGCTTGCCTGCCTTCCATATTATGACAGCTTATTGCAGGCTGTAGTCYAGGCAAAGAGTATCTGGTACGGAACACTAATTTCCCTAAAATACGGCCATCCCAGCTGATACGGGACAGTTGGCACCCCTACCTCAGCTTCGAAGCAGGTGTTTATCTAATCTGCTCAGATTTAGCCATAAGTACTGCTAGTGTTAGTGCTAACTTTTGAGCTAGCTTTATACTCTCTGGCTTTTTGAGTGGAGTAGCCAAATGGCTGACTGCTGCCAACTAGCAGCCAGAGGCTAAATTACAACACAAAAATGTGATATTAATTGTTGACAGTTTTACTTAGGGCAGTACGATATCAAGAAAACCTGCGATGTGTGAGAACTGTGTTTAATAATGCAATGACGATATGACATATGACAAACAAATACTTCAGTATGCAGTGTTGATGTGTTTCTGCTCTGGGTTCAGAGCAACAAAACAACTAATTCATTACATGACAGTTTTATTTTTAAAAAAGTGCACTAGGCAGCTGCTGTATTAGCAGTGAAACAAGAAAGTGCATGTAGCGCTGTTTATTAACAACTTTAAACTTCGCCCCCCATTAAACATTTTCTGATGCTGAAAAATGCCTCTTATCAGTTTTTTAAAATAAACAATACAAACACAAAAAATAAGTTAAAGAATTGTAAATAAAAGTTAACCAACCTAAATACAACTGTAAATTCTCTCATTGAAGTTGTCCAACATTTTAATGATTTGATGTGAGGTCAATGTGAGCTCAGGTCCATTTTGTTTATCAGATTGATGCTGACAAAACACGTAAACATTTGAACCCACCATTTATTGCAGTTTTTTGCTATATGCCTATTGCACATGTTATTATTGTGATGACGAAATATTTGTGATATTTTGTGCAGCCCTAGTTTTACTGATGATTAATTGCACACAATAAAGTTTTGCCCAACCCTAGCTGTCATGGGTTCAGATGATGTTTTTATGTCTGTCCTCCCCAGACATCTGGAGTCTTGGTGTGATCCTGTTTATGTTGGTCTGTGGCCAGCCACCTTTCCAGGAAGCTAATGACAGTGAGACCCTCACCATGATCATGGACTGTAAATACACTCTACCCGTCCACGTCTCCGGTGCCTGCAAAGAGTAAGTTATACAGCAATTTTATTTGTTTTGTTTTTTTTTCCCTGAAAGATATATATATATATATATAAAATATTAAGGAAAAATATTAAGAATTTTTGGATACACTTGAAGAATAAAACGTAGCTTTGTGATTTTTTTTCTCTTTCACGATCATATGCCCTTGAAAATTTGTAAAGACAAATAATTTGTATAGAACCAATCAGCACCCATGTGTTGACATGCAGCCCTGAAGAAAACTGATATTCTTCTTTTGCTGGGAACCATCAAATGTTAGCAACACGTGACTGCATAAACTATTGTTATTTGATTTGTAGGGTGACACTTTCTTCTGCAGTAAAATGTAATAAAGTATAAAGAGCTGCATTGCTATCTTTGGTTTAAAGCGTTCTAAGAGCAGTCACCTTCATGCTCAGATTTTGTACTGCTCATCTTTAAAACCCTGCTTCCTAACTCAAAAAGTCCTCTGCATGTTTGTGTGCTCTGGTCTGTCTCAGAACTCTTTCTCCTCTTGAACACTCGGCTGCTTTTACAAATCTTTTGCTCTCCACATTGAGGCCCTGTCCTTTCTCTGCCAGCAGAACTGTTGAATTCAGGTGGACAAAGAAATCTATTGCAGGTCAAGTTAGGAAAATCCTGCAGAATTTAGGTCATCAAACTATTAGTCTGTAAGTCTACGGAACAACATGGAACAAAACACATAAAAACAAAAGACAATCAAGATCATCATACATAAAATGATTTACAAAAGTAAAACTAACTGTACAAAGAGTTTTACACACATTTAATCTCTTTAATAGTTTATCTGTAAAAAGATTTTAAAAAGCAGGACATATAATCCCACTTTGCATCATTCCATTCTGTTCAGATCCCTCTTGAAGACATAAATGTAGCTGTTAAGTGGTCATTCATTCAGTTTTACATTCTGCATTAACTGCCTGTATAAAACACAATGACAGATTGTCTGTCTTTAAGAGTGACCGTCCTCACTGTCCCTCTGAATTAAAGCTTCTCTTTCCTCTCGTCTTTTCTGACTCACAAATCTGTTTACATGCATCAGTTAAATCACACTTGAGCTTGTTTTGGTCCTCGATTGAAATGTGGTTTGACTCAGACTGGTGCTTGTTTTAGTGCACACATTCACATTAATGATGAAATCCTTTGGTAACTCTGAGGATTGTTGAGAAAATCCACGCCAAGTTTTCCCCTGCAGCTTCTTCATTTCCTCTGTAACACTTTCTCTGGCTTATGAGTTGGTGGCACCTCTCTCACACCTCCCTCAAAGAATGTGGGATCCTGCAATTTTACACTTCGCGTGTGTTACCTGAAGTGGGAGAAAATACAAGATAAAGCAACTTTCTGCAAATGCAAGCATTTCTTTCTGTCAGAGAGATGAAAGCAAACAAGAAATGATCCAGTTGTTGGATAGATAAGTGGTCATCTTAGAATATAACATATTATGTGCTGTAATGTGCTGTTTTTAATTGTGTTGCTCATATACAGTTGCATACAGGAAAAGCACTACTGATGCTAATGTAACAATATTTAGTGGTTGAAAAATGCAAACACAGGGCTTTGCTGTGCAAACAATATCTAGATGAATGACACAGTAGATGTGAACAGTGGTGTATGTGTTAATTACATGTTGAGAATAAGACAAAGGAGAAAGGCAGCTGCTTCTACATTAAAGTTGTATTTACCTGAAAGCATAAAATAAATGATCCAGTTATCATTAAACTCATGTAAGAGACACCCCGATAAAAATAAGACTAAAAACAGTTTACTGTTATGTCATGTGGATAGTGGAGCCAAGTTGGTTTGATTAAAAATGAAACATTAAAGCAAAATGTTATGCTTTATTTTAACTGAAATACTAACATGTTTTTAGCTTATGTCATTTATAGGTTGTATTTTGATATTTACAGCAAAATATATTTTTTAAAATGTATGGTTTATATAGTAGTTCCTTTACTGGTTTTAAGCATAGACATGTATTCATTTCATTGTGATTGTGTGAACGCTCATCAAACATTCACACTATAGATATCCGTTTCTTTCTTACGTTCGTCGGCACCTCTGATTCTACTATTTTTTTTCTTCTATTTCATCAATTCAAAATGTTCAGCTCCTTCAGGAGATTTCATCTATGACTTTTAATACTTTATACTACTTGATATATTCAGCTTTCTGACATTTTTTTCTAATTGAAAATGAAGCTGTCTTCAGTTTCCTAAAACCTTTCTCTTCTTTACTGTACTTTTTACCTTTTGTTCGAGTTCGGCCTTTTAAAATCCTTTGTATTAATTTCAGCCTCTTCCAGCTTCCTTTGGCTTCTATTTTACTGGTTTTAGGTTTTTCAGCTTTTCTAGCTATCATTCCGACCTTTTCTGCTATTCTTTTCTAATTTTAACTATTTGCGCTTTTTCTGGCTGCTTTCTGATAATTTCTAGCCTGGCCCTTGCCTTCCTACGCAGCTCCGCTCAATTCTAGTTTCCCTTCTCTGCTCCYTCTGGGACTTCTCCCATTGACAAGGATTTCGCTGGCAGATTTTTAGCCGGGCCAATCAGAGAACAGAACATAGATTTTCTGCGCAGTGTCTGCTTGTAGTTTATTTTACCTGGGCCAATCAGAGAACAGAAGGAGGAGCTTTGAATGACGTCGATGTTCTGCGCAGTGTCTGCTAGTTATTTTAGCGTACGGCAGTGGAGGAAGTGAATGAAGCCAGTCTGTGTTAATAAGGCTTCCAAATTAAATTAAATTTGTCTGACAAAGCAGCAGCTCTCATTTACAGTTGTCTCGTTCGGCTCGGTACTTCTCTCCTCTCAGTAGGGTTGTTTACAGCACACACGATTTCCGGTTAGCTTCTTAGCTTAGCCTCCTTCACAGCGACATACATCGCAGCCAACTGATCCAATCATTTTAAACTTCAGCAGAGGCCACGCCTCCTGTAAGAAACGCTTGTCTATTCAGCAAGTCCAGACCCTCGTACGAAGCAAAGTGAAGGACAGGGTCTGGTTTAAACCAGGCTAGATAATTTCAAATCTTTAAATTTATTGTTTTATTTTTATTTTTATTTTTTGTGTGTACAGTGCCCTGAGACAATAGTTGTTGTGACGGTGCTATATAAATAAACTGAGTTGAAATGAATTCAGCTGTTTTCTGTGCTTTTAGCTACTTTTTAGCTAATTTGAGCTTTTTTCAGCTAATTTCAATTTTTGTGATTTCAACCTCTTACTACTTAATTCAAAAAACTCTTTCTGTTTCTTTGTGCTAATTTCAGCTATTTCTATTTTTAAACCTATTTTTATACTAGTTTCAGCTTTTTTAGCTATTCAGCAACAATTTTTCAGGATTAAGTATTCACACTGCTTTTTCACAGGAAATGCAAATACCGTACTTTAGTTTCATTTTTTGTTTTTGTTTAGGGACAACTGTCAAGTATTTACAATAGCGTACAGTAAAACATTTATAGCCAAGGCTAGATGCTCAGATGGGCTTTTAGCAACATACAAATAAAACAGTTAAAAAACATAAAACATTACACTATTAAGACAGTTCATAAAAACAAACTTAAAAACAGATGATAACATCAAAAAGATGGACTAGACTCAGGATCAGGAAGTTGAAGCAGGAGCCATTAAAGCATGTGCACAGAATGTTCACTGTCTGTTTGTGTAAATAAACAAGACTTTGCTTTTAATAAAACCAAAATATACCTCAGAAATGTTTTCAAGTAATTTATCTAATGAACCATTACATTAAAAATAACTTATTAAATACAAGTAATTAAAGAGGTCTAAAACTGGATTCAAAAGGGCTGCCACAGATAATTAATTTTTTTCRAGCACATAATGGCTCTGAGTCAGTTTTACAGATAGTGAACTAAAGTTTGATGTGGTAGTAGCTGAGAGTCATTCAATACACACTTCACGGAGTAACAGATCACACATAAGATGAACCTTTACAAGGTTTGAACTGAACAGCTGCAGCTTGGTCATCATGTGGTGAGTTTACCTAAAAGTGGCATGAAAAATGATGGGTGAAATTTTTTTTTAGGATTGCTAAGCCTTTGTTTGTGAATGTTACTGTGTGCACACACAGATCTAAAATACAGGTGCTGGTCATAAAATAAGAATATCATGAAAAAGTAGATTTATTTCAGTAATTCCATTTAAAAAGTGAAACTTGTATATTATATTCATACATTACATACAAACTCATATATTTCAAATGTTTATTTCGTTTAATTTTGATGATTACAAATGACAACAAATGAAAATCTCAAATTCAGCATATCAGAAAATTAGAATCTTGTGAAAAGGTTCAAAATGGATGGCACCTGGTACCACACTCTAATCAGCTAATTAACTCAAACCACCTGCAAAGGCCTTTAAATGGTCTTTCAGTCTAGTTCTATAGGCTACACAATCATGGGGAAGACTGCTGACTTGACAGTTGTCCAAAAGACGACCATCGACACCTTGCACAAGGAGGGCAAGACACAAAAGGTCATCGCTAAAGAGGCTGGCTGTTCACAGAGCTCTGTGTCCAAGCACATTAATAGAGAGGCGAAGGGAAGGAAAAGATGTGGTCGAAAAAAATGTACAAGCAAGAGAGATAACTGCACCCTGGAGAGGATTGTGAAACAAAACCCATTCAAAAATGTGGGGGAGATTCACAAAGAGTGGACTGCAGCTGGAGTGAGTGCTTCAAGAACCACCACACACAGACGTATGAAAGACATGGGTTTCTGCTGTCGCATTCCTTGTGTCAAGCCACTCTTGAACCACAGACAGCGTCAGAAGCGTCTTGCCTGGGCTACAGAGAAACAGGACTGGACTGCTGGTGAGTGGTCCAAAGTCYTGTTCTCTGATGAAAGTAAATTTTGCATTTCCTTTGGAAATCAAGGTCCCAGAGTCTGGAGGAAAATAAGAGAGGCACTTCATCCATGTTGCTTGAAGTCCAGTGTAAAGTTTCCACAGTCAGTGATGGTTTGAGGTGCCATGTCATCTGCTGGTGTTGGTCCATTGTGTTTTCTGAGGTCCAGGGTCAACYCAGCCACATACCAGGAAATTTTAGAGCACTTCATGCTTCCTGCTGCTGACCAACTTTTTGGAGATGCAGATTTCATTTTCCAACAGGACTTGGCACCTGCACACAGTGCCAAAGCTACCAGTACCTGGTTGAAGGACCATGGTATCCCTGTTCTTAATTGGCCAGCAAACTCTCCTGACCTTAACCCCATAGAAAATCTATGAGGTATTGTGAAGAAGAAGATGCAATACACCAGACCCAACAATTCAGAAGAGCTAAAAGCCACTATTAGAGCAACCTGGGCTATCATAACACCTGAGCAGTGCCACAGACTGATCGACTCCATGCCACGCCGCATTGCTGCAGTAATACAGGCCAAAGGAGCCCCAACTAAATACTGAGTGCTGTACATGCTCATACTTTTCATGTTCATACTTTTCAGTTGGCCAACATTTCTAAAAATCCTTTGTTTTTATTGGTCTTCAGTAATATTCTAATTTTCTGAAATGCTGAATTTGAGATTTTCATTTGTTGTCATTTGTAATCATCAAAATTAAACGAAATAAACATTTGAAATATATGAGTTTGTATGTAATGTATGAATATAAAATACAAGTTTCACTTTTTAAATGGAATTACTGAAATAAATCTACTTTTTCATGATATTCTAATTTTATGACCAGCACCTGTATATGATACTAATATTATGTAAGTCAACATAGTTTTTCTTTTTAAAGCTTTAACTAAAACATGTTTATAATTTTTCTGTTGTCATTTCTTTTTTTATTTTGTTGCTTCCTTTGTTGATATCTGGCACTTCCTGTTACTAAAAATGAGTTGCGTATTAATACATGTGGGTTTTCTTTAGTAATAATGCTGGCTGTATCACTGGATCCCATATTCCAACTAATCCAGTAAAACTTTAATCTCAGCTTTCTGCTGTGTRGTTTAAGTGGATTTAAAAGTGCTGGTCAACCAGCTGCAGTTTGCCTTTCTCAGCTCTGATGAACCAAATATTTCTCACTGAAAAACCTCCTTTATGCAGTGTGTACCAGCAGATTAATCGTGTTTAAACATTTAACATCTTTACTGTATGTTCAGTTTGTGCAAATGTTCAGAGATGTACAACCTTTTAAACAGTGCTTGATTTTAGGGCCTTTAAAGGGAGATTCTGACTTCTCCAAACAAAGGAACTATATGAGAGTGACATACGTCAGGTCTTATTTCTGTGTTGAGCCGAGGTCTAAAGTCACGCCACTCACTCTTCCTCTTCTGACACCTGGTCCTGATAGTTCTGTTCCCTCAGGCGGGTGGAGCAGCTGGAGAACTTGTAGCACCTGGGCAGCCGGGACCACCAGCAACAATATTTRACCAGCGTGCATACAGGGTCTCAAATATCTATCAGCATGAATTTCTGATCTCTGAGTTAGTCTGTTTAATCTGCTTTTAAGCTGAACATATCCTCTTTTACACCACGTCAAGTACTCAGTGTTCTTTATGAATATGATCTCATACAGTTTTTCTCTGCTTTAAAGCAATTTGAGTGTTTGAAGTCGCTATCAACTCAAAAGCTCTGGAGAAAAAATGACATCTTGTCACCCTTTGAGTGCTTAAGACTTTTTCAGTGAGTAACTCAAATTTAAATAAAAAAAAAACATCACCCCTCCAACCTCCTCATCTGAACTATTATATCTTTAAACCCTGCTGCATTCATTGTACTTTGAAGAGAAGTTCATATTATCAAAGTTAAAACATACAAATACTGTATGTACATGTCAGTGAAGCTCAGGGTGCAAGGAGCTGAAATATGAAAAAACAAATACTGGTGTTTGTTTAAATGTTTACATATATAAAATCACAGATATTGGTTTACTTTATGTTTATTTTCCTCCTACTCTTTCCTCTTCTGCTTGCTTTTTAAGCCTGATAGACCGGATGCTTCAGAGYGACCCCAAGCGCCGAGCTTCTTTGGAAGAGATTGAGAGCCACAGTTGGCTTCAGGGGGTCGATCCATCACCTGCCACCAAGTACAGCACCCCTCTGGTGTCCCACAAACACCTGTCCGAGGAGGAGCACAACAGCATCATCCAGCGCATGGTGCTCGGGGACATTGCTGACCGAGAGGCTATAATTGAGTAAGTTTGACTCAAGCYTACAAATCCTRTACAGATAATAGAAATCAAGCTGCACAGTGTGGGTTTGGATTTAATCCACGGTCATAACATGAAAATACCCTGTCTGGTTCACTCTCCACTCTAATGATTGACCAGCTTTTTGACCAGAGTTTTATGATGTGAACAGTTTTTCAGTCGGCCCTGATTTTATCTGGTTTTTTTTGGTCTTCCTATGCTTTGCATTTACAAGATTTTATTTACACTGTTTCACTACAACTGTGTGAAATTATCATAWTGGGGCTGTGAAAAGCTGTCTCACGGTTTCTGGTGAGCAATAATGGAGAAAAATAATGCTTACTGCACAAAAATAGTAAACCTCATCAAATACAAATGGACTGTTCAGAGCTTGCTTTTATATCCATCATAGTTAATCCAGTTTCAAGTGGTCAGCAAAGTTCTTTGTATTGRTTAAGTTTTTCATTTTTCACTCTGGAGCAGCGTTTCAGCTTTTATTTGCCCCTGTTTACGTCTGGATCAAATAGCAAACAGACCTTATTTTAGCATAAGCAAAAGTACCTTAACAGATAGACTTGAGTTTTATTCACTTTACAACTAGATATTAAAATAGAATAAATTAATAACCTCATAAATCAGACAAAATGTTTCTGTAGACTGCAGGATGTCTTTTAACTTTTCCATCACTTTGGTAAAAGTTAATTTTTGTCGCATCAGTCCATAAAACTTTGTCCCAGATYCTTTGAGCCTCATCTCTGTACTTTTTGGCAAACTCCAGTCTGATCTTCCTGTTGTCTAAGAAGGCTTATATTTTAGGTGCAGTCACTGCCCTGCTGTTGGTGAAGTCTTACCTTAGTGCTGATATCACTAACAGCTGTTTTAGGCTTTGCCTTCAAATCTCTGTGTTTTWGTTGACGAGGTTTTTATTTTTATTTACGGACATCAGATTGTTGAATTGACTATMGTCAATGTTTGGGTCTGGTTTTTGTGTTGGTGTTTTACATATAGTGTGTGCAAATAAATTATTTTTGCATTTTACTATAAATGCCAGCATTTACCAGATTATATTATTTTGTACTGAAAAAGACTTTAGCATCGGGCCGGCAATAGGCAGACCATTACATCACTGAAGTTGATATAAGATCCAAAATAAGAAAATTTTAAATTAGGATAGAAAAAATTCTAAAAGTAATGGTGCTGATCATTATAAACCCAAACATGACTTTAGAACAACAAAAAAGTAGAATTTGATGAATAAGTAATGATGAAAAGTGACTTTAAAATGATTTTTAACTTCCTTTTTTTACCCATGCTTTGAAGAATGTTAGAAGCAGAGCTTAAAGTCTATAATCCTGCTGGCTGCCCAGCGAGTCAGTGAGACATGTTACAGTCGGGTCACTGAGGTCAGCCTTCATAAGCTGTATTTGAAAGCAGAATTTAAAAGAACACGGTCAGTTATTGTGAGTTTGTTTTTGCTTTTTTTTCTTTGCGGGATAACCATGTAACACAGTCTGAAGATAAAAGTTCCCTAATAAATCACATTCATCTTGTTGCTGGGAAAGTTTGTTCCTCTTTGTATCCACAGTGTGACGAGCCACAGTCGTCATGTTTGATACTGTTTGTGCCAACGCTGTCACCGTGGAATGCAGTTTTGGACATTTSTTCAACTAAATATTGTGCTTGCAGAAAGGAAAGCTAAAACTAGTAAAACAACCTGCTTCCTTTGCTATTTTTATTGCTAGCAGATCTTTGTTGAGATTGCTGTTCTATCGAAGTACATTTTTGTAAGTGTAGGAATTGTGATTTCATTACTGTAAATAGCAGCCATTTTTTTAAAAGGCCAAACATTTTATAGCATATTTTGACCGTCACCAGAGTAGACATGAACAACCTCTGTGTTTGAAGCTCAGATCTGTCAGCTTGGTCAGAATTTCCACACAGTTCCCTCCTCAGATGTTTTCCAGCATACTTTCCATTTGCACACAGACCATAATGTTGTATGTGTTGTTGCAGGGCCCTGGAGACCAACAAATACAACCACATAACAGCCACGTACTACTTGTTAGCTGAGAGGATCCTGAGGGAGAAGCAGGAGAAGGAGGTCCAGACCCGCTCGTCCAGCCCCAGCAACATCAAGGCTCACTTCAGGTAAACSTCACCTTTTCATTTGAAAACACGGCTGCAGCAGTAAACAGTCTCCCATGCATGTGCAGATATCAGGAGTGTTTAGTAACAACATATCAGAGGAAGTAATTGAGCTGTCTCTCTCCTTACAGAGAGCCCAGTCATGGGTATTATTTAAGACTGGGTTAGATCTCTAAAGGTTTCATTTCCATTTCTGGTGTAACTAAGCCTCCCCCTGACAGGCTCAGGGGGGCTGCAAAAGAGAGAATCGTCTGAACTATAAAAAGAGTTATTGCAGTGTTTTGTATCWGTCTAATCATAATTATTCTGATAATCTCTGTGTTATTCTTGGTTCTCGTTGACATTAACGACGAAAGTCTGTTTCCAGTCAGTAATCTCACATTAATAAACTAAGAAGACATCTTAGTTTATATCACTTAGATGTCCAAGTATTTTATCTTGGCCTCCCTGCCAACATTGTTCCCTGGTTATAAAAGGAAGAACAGCTGAGGAAAGGAACAAATAAGGAAGAGCGAAGGCCCAGCAGGACGGCAGCTCCTCGAACACTGGCACAGTTCCCTACATTGTACTCTTTACTCTTTAAAAGACTCTTTAAATAGAAAAGATTTTGGATTTGTTTAAGAACTTGTGTTCTCAACAGACTGACGTACGGTGCCCTGGGAAAGTATTTACACTCCTTTRTCATTTTCCCACGTTACAATTTCAAACTATTCTACCACAATGTTAGGTGATACATAGGTGATCAAACAGCATCATGAAGACCAAGGAACACACCTGAAAGCATACTGCTTCCTCTTCTGTAGAGCTCAAAGTGAGAACTGCTCATTGAAACTTCAACTCTGCTGTAGTTTCAGGTTTTATAAACTGGATTTCATTTACAGATGACTTCTTTACACAATATGTGGCAAGTGCTAGTGAAATACCCGAGTTAAGTGACAGAAAAGTGTTTTTAATGAGGGGTTTTATTGCATTCAGATTATCAAACTGGAGAGGATTACTGAGAATCAGTAAACTGGGTGAACCTGATCCTCCTCCTCAGCCAGTACTACAAGGAATCTGAGCCTTAAAATATCTACAAGGAGTTCAAACTGTGTGTTTTGTGCCACACACATCCTGGTTTTCCTAAACAATCACACACTAGTGAGTATTTCAGGTTTATTGTCCTTAACTTCCCTGTTCAGGACACTTTGACATGTGGAGAGGCAGGACTGAAGCTGCTGGTTATAAACCTGATATAAATAGTGCTGACTCCAGGTGAATTCATACCTTTGCAGCTTTCTTTTGTTTTTACCTCGTCCTACTTCYTACACTCTTTTTCCTGCTTCTTTACCTCGTCTCTGCTTCACCTCAGCAGCCACCTCATGATTTAATCTACTAGAATACACTTCTGAAATAAAAAAAACTGATGTTTTCTATTTAATCTGGATCTCATGTCAGAGAAGAAAAACAATTAAAATCCAGTTCTTTTTAAAACAAGCAGTTAAGTTAAGCTCCTGAAATAATTCAGTTCAGTTTATTTATATAGGGCTAAGTCAAAACAAACGTCATCTCAGGGCACTGTACACAAAAACTAATATATCTCAAGAAGCCAGCAGATCGTGTTGAATCATCAGTTTATCACAGTTTCCTGTCCTGAGCAGCACATTGGTGACAGTGGAGAGGAAATACTCCCCTTTAACAGGAAGAAACCTCCAGCAGAACCAGAACCAGYCTCAGGACAGGCGGCCATCTGCCTTGACTGACTGGGTTTGAGAGGACAGGAAAGAAACACAAACACAGGACTGGTCCAGGTGTATTTTCCTCTAGAAGAGACAAAGAAAACATGTTATTGATAGAAGTAATTATTACAAACATGTAGAGGAGAGAGACTAAAGACAGCAGCAGAGTGCTCAGTTTGTCTTCCAGCAGTCTAAGTCTATAGCAGCAGAAATGAGGACACTCAGGAAACCTGTCTAACTATAGGATTTATCAACAAGGAAAGTCTTCAGTCTAGTCTTAAAATTAGACAGATTGTCAGCCTCACAGACAGAAACCGGAAGTTGGTTCAATGAGAAAATAATGTGATTGTTTGTACAGTTGTCTGAAAACACAAGCAGACTAGGTTGTGTTTTCTCTGTATTTCATAGGAGCTGCAGCCGGATCAGGTCATGTACACTTGTGTTGGTTACACACAATCCTTCCATCATACATGGTTCACTGTACTGGAATTTTTGCAGCAGGCTAGCATAGCAACTCATATTTTTAAACTCTAAATCTTTTGGGCAAAACTTGGGTTTGCTTATATAAATTTTGTAAACTTTCATAATCTTCGTAAGCAGCATGAGGGTGACTGCAATTATTTTGTGAAGCCAGAGGAAGACACATACAGAATAAATTTCTCMGGCGTGGTCACCTTTCATTTAAAATGGTTTACAAACAATATTATTGTTCATCGCGACAATTTATCGTCCACCAAATTTGTTATTGTTACAGGTCTAGTTCACTCAGAATGTCATTTACAGGAACACATTAGTTACTGGTCATGCTTTAACTCTGTAAAATAAACCACGTTGTTGGAAAAAATCTGCCTTTTATGAACTTGTAAATCTTGTTGTGCACTTAAGAGTTCATACAAAACAAATTTCAAATATTGGGGAAAAAATCCTAAGTTTTGTCCAGAGCTGACTTGTCTCTGTCCTGCCCCCTACAGGCAGTCTTGGCCCACCAGAATGGACATGCACCAGGATATAGAGGACACTTTGGCGTCTTCGTCCATCTCACATGGCGGAGGCCCACAGTCTCCCGCTCGCAGCGCTGAGAATCTGCTCAACGGACATCGCTCCAAAGCCTTGCTGGAACTGAGRCAACGGGAGGGGAGTTCAGTGGTGGACTCCGTGGGACCCTCAGCTCAGGTTTTTATCTTGTTTAGAAGCAGACATGGTCACATCTAATTGTACTGGAGTTACATAGACCAGATCACTTTCAGCTACTGAAAGAACCTCCCACCACAGTGTTAGTCWTTAAAGACAACTTTTGATAATTTACCTCTTTCAAAATAAAAGCATTCATTTGATCGTGTTGGTACTTTTATAAATATCGTTTGAAGTTAGTAGAACAACAACTAGTAAATACTTTCTCTACCATATTTTATACATAGTCAGATTTTGTATTCTTTATTTAAATACTGTTAAATGTTATTTTATGTCTTTTTGATGATCTTAGTTTGAAGTTTCACAGCTAAAGATGCTACACGCTACACACGGTGCCTGACACGTCCAGCACTGCTTTCAGGAGGGGAAAGATTTTTTTTTAATTTGGGATAAATAAAAGTTTTACTCTTGTGAATTTTTTTGTGGACTTAAAATTAGCAGAAGCTAACGATTTTCCAAAGTTACCAAAAAGTTAGCAAAAACTCTTTGTCTAAATGAGAAGCTAGTTTTGCTGTTAGCAGTTTAGTGGAACTGTGCCCACCACTGGTGGAAATAGGTTTGTGGGAAGAAACTGAAAATTCGGGGAAACCAGTTTGTGCACGGGGAGAACATGCTAACTCATCACAAAYACTGGGAGACGAACCACTGCTCCACTGCCTTAGACTTTTAAAATCCTGAAGCTAACGTGGCTAAGCTACAAGTTTTAGAGCAAATGTTAAAGAGAGTAGACGAGTTTCCACAGGAAACAGTGATGAGGCAGGAAGGATTTACAGCTGGGACTTTGAGTTGGCTGATCCTTATTTTAACGACAGATCAGTGTCGGAGACAAACCCTGGATTGTTTAGCTGATCACTACAAACTGAGCGCTGAAACAACCCAGATGTGAACCTGAGGAGGCGTGAAGCGAGCTGATTGGTCCCGTAGCTTCCTGTTCCTGTGCTCACGGCTCAGCTTTGTGTTCATGTTGTGTGACTGTAACACACGTGGCTCCTCTGTTCTGTGTGTCATCACAGGGAGCGTGTGCCGCTGCCTCCGGACCTGTTCCTGCMTCTGGGTCTGGGACCATCAGAGCCCCCGTCCCCTCCACGACCGCTGCAGCCAAGCAGAGGATCTGCCTGTTCAGGTCTGACCCGCCTGCTTCATGATGAGGACACATCTAGATTCTCAGATCTGATGATTTGACACTTTTCCCCTCAAATGTTAGAAATCAAACTGATGATGAACGGATCTAATTTTTTATTTAAAGTTTTCTGACAGCAGGAGCAGATGAGCTGAGTTGTTTCCTGAATGTTCCACCTTCTGGACTGAACTGTTTTATTCTGATTATCAGGGTGGAGGAGGATGAAGAGGAGGAGGAGGAGCAGGACCCGTCTCCCCTTCCGACCCACGTGATCCTGCGACGGAAGCCCCCCTCCATCACCAACCGCCTGACGTCCAGGAAGAGCGCCCCTGTGCTGAACCAGATCTTCGAGGAGGAGGGGGAGTCTGACGACGACTTRGACATGGACGAGGGGCTGCCCCCCAAACTCAGCCGCCTCAAGATGAACATGGCCGGGAGCGCAGGCGGTCTGAGCTCGGGGGCCGCCTCACCGGGACCCTCGCAGAAGCGCTACCACCGGCGCAAGAGCCAAGGGAGGGGGTCGTCGTGCTCCAGCTCCGAGACGAGTGACGACGACTCGGAGAGCCACCGCAGGCGGCTGGACAAAGACTCGGGCTTTAACTACAGCTGGAACAGGAGGGACAGCAGTGAGGGGCCGCCTGGCAGCGAGGGGGGCAACGGAGGGGGCAGCAGCTCAGGGCAGGGCAAGCCCTCCTCTGAGGGAGGGGGCTCCTCCGGCCCAGACAGGGGCAGCTCTCCTGGCGCGGGTGGGAGCGGGGGGAGAGAAGGCGGCGGGGGTGGGGGAGGGGGCAACCAAGGACAAGACAGCCCCTCCAGCTGCTGCCACAACAGCAGCAACACCAAGCCCACCCTCGGCGCCGTGACCCGCCTGTCCCGCACGCCGAGCCGGGGCAGCGAGCTGGTGGAGGGTCTGCAGCTGATGAGCCTGTGCCTCAGCTCGCAGCTGCAGCAGCACCGCGGCGGGCGGGGGGCGCGGGGAGGGGGCAAGTTCCTCATAGACCCCCGCAGCGTGAAGATCCAGGAGAAGTCCACCTGGAGGATGTGCATCAGCTCCAGTGGGAGTCTGGACTCCATCACCCTCCCCACCGCCACTGGCCTTCCTCGCGCCCACCACCACAGACCCGTGCCCCCCGGCCTGAAGGCAGGCTCCGCCCACCGGGACCTTCACAGGAACCTGAGCCCTCTGAAGAACGGCGTGCTGCAACTACCTCTGTGTGAGAAGACCATCTCTGTGAACATCCAGGGGGCTTCCAGAGACGCTCTGCTCTGTACCTCAGCTCCAGCCAGCTGCTGCCAGGTCGTCTGAACCCCCCACCACACACACACACACACACACACACACACACACACACACACACACACACTGTTCTCGGACCGTTGGTTTGAAACTCTTCATTTTGTGTGCCTGCTGCTGTGTCCCGCCCTCTGCTTGTTGTTTTATCATCTGTTAGTTTTTTATCTTATTTATGTTTCTCTGCAGCACTTTGAAGCTAAAATCCAGAGTTTAGTTCTGAATCAGATCCTGAAAGATTTGGTTTGTTCCCAAAGTCTTTAGAGTTGAGTACTTTTAATGTTACAAGGTTAACGCCCCAATCAGAAGATTATTATTATTAATATTGTTATTATTATTATTATTATTATTATTGTTGGAACTGAAAACAAATCATCTGCAGTTTATATTGAGTCAAACCAAAAGTAATAGTTTTACATTATTATGGAAGATTTGTTTGTAAAATAAAACCAGGTTTATGGAGAAACTGATTGTTCTTAAAGGAGAACACTTCTCTGCTGAATCCTCTGTTACAGAAAATCTTTTTGACTTGTTTGACAGAGGCAGAACTTTCTGCCGAGTCGGCGTTAAATGTATTTTTAGCTCGTTACTGTACACCTGAGTAAAAAGACAGCCGTACATCTTTCATTTCTCTGTGTCCTCGTCGGATCGTATTAATGTTTCCTCAGGTGGTAAATTAGACTCATTGTACAGATGAGGGTTTTAAACGAAGTGTCAGGTTTCACTGCAGCTCTGGTTCTTCTGGTTCCAGACTTCYTGGTGTCCTCACTGAGCTGCGACTGTTGGGAGACTTGTTGGGACAAACTTTGATTCGGCTCGTCACAGATTTTACTTACAAAGTTTGAATCTGAGGGGACGGATGCTACGAGAAACAAATAATTTGATGATGTTTGCCTTATGTCATTATAACAAATAAATCTTCATGGTTCATTCAAATACCCCCCCCCCCCCAATAAATAAATAAACTTTAAAAAGTTGCACTTTTAAAAAGATTCCCTGAAATCCACAGTAGAGCTCAGTGTTTCCAAAACAAACACGTGGTTTTATTCTGAAAACAGCTTCAAATGTGGCCAAACTTTCATTTAGCAGCTAAYTATCGTAGCTGAAGTCCTGTTTAGAGCGACAACCTTTAATCCAGTTTTCACACTGAAACAACTGTTTGTATATTTTCACAGAACAAATCCTTCCAGTTAGAATTTATTTGATCACCTTCTCCCCCCCAAGTCTCGTTCTCTGGAACAGATTCTGTTCTGTCCGAGGTTCAGGAGGAGCAACAGGTCCTCCTGCAGGGTTCCTCCTCCTGTTTCCATCAGTCTGTTGTTTGCGGTCCTACTGTTTGGAGTTTTCTTTTAAAGCTGTTGTTTTTTTATTGAAGCTGCACTCTTTTAGCTTTAAACTGACAGAACCTGCACCGCGGAGCAGGATTATCCTTTCTGCTTCAGTTTGGGGGATTTTCAGAGCAGATTATGTTTCTGGATTAGAGGTCATACATGTCAGCTCACTGCCTCCCAATCAGTCAGTGTCCATAATTAATAATAAATAAATAAACAAATAAATAAATAAAACCAGCGGTGCTATTTGACATTTAGACACTTCTTCATGATAAAAACCTTAGCAGAACTGAATTTCTGTTGCAGAAAATAGAAGAACTCAAGAACTACATCTTTAATGAAAAACCTTTGACAATAAAAAATTTCCTGTTTTACACAGTTAAAATTTTAATTCAAATTAGGGCTGCCACGATTAATCGATTAATCAATGACTAATTTAATAATCGATTAATCATTTTCTCTTTTTTTTTGTTCTTTGTTTTTCTCTCCAAACTGCTTTGACACCTTCCACTGCCACATCTGCCTTTCTGTCCTTGACACACATGCACAGTAGTGGTAACTGGGGTAGGCCGGTGTGGACGTCACAAGACATTATACAGACAGGCTCTGGAATCATGGCTACC